GGGGAAGACCTGAAGCAAGACGGCGGGCGTGCGCATCCTTGCGAGAGTCTGTCAAGGCCGGGAGCGCATGGCGAGAGAATGGCGTGTTTCTGGGGTGGTGCGTGCCATGAGGGTGCCGGGTCACGTTTAATGTTGTTATATCTTGCCTGTTGGCATGCAGTGAATTGAGTTTTTTGCATGAGGAGCCTGCTGGTTTGTAGCTGCCTTTGTGAGGATGCAGTCCGAGTTCTGAACGCGGCGAGAAGCATGCACTGCCACCCTGTCCAACCCCTCCCGGATCTCGATCCGAGGAACATATAAACCCCGCGATTCGTCAAGTTCCCCTATCAACGCCATACAGTCGACTCTGTCTTAACCCATAACGGGTCGTGGAACCCAAAAGTTATGGGTTTCTGCAGACTATGGGTTACCAGAACGTGTGACATTGTGTGACTACCTAGTAAGCGTGACAGACAGCCTATCCGGTATAGGCCGTGACAACGTTCAGATACGGAATCTTGAGTCTGGTATGGGTTATCTTCTGAAATACCACCAGAACCAAAACTTCAGGGTCCAGATGGTCCAGATTCTCGTGGGAAGGAGACCTGTACCTTCCTAATATAGGTTGTTTTATGGGTTATGACCCTCCAAAAAGCTATGGGTTATGGGATACGGCAGACTTATGGGTTTTTACTATCTACCATGTTTGTGGAAGCCAAAAACCTATGGGTTATTACAGGTTATGGGTTATCACAGGTATGGGTTAAGACAGAGTCGACTGTAAATACCTTCCCCCAATCGAACCGTTACCGATGAAGTGCACGTCGACGCTGTCCCTCGTTGCGCTCGCCGCCGCCGCCCTCGCCGGCGCGCAGGAGAGCACGTCGACCGCGTCGTCGGTCACGCTCACGCTCGAGAAGAGCGTCCCCATCTCCGAGTCGACCACCTTCACTGCCGGGTGAGTCCCCCGTCCCCCGCCGCCCCGGATCCCATTGACAATCCCTGATTGCAGCTCGACCTCCATCCCGGTCACGGTTCTCAGCACCGCGACCTCCGGCACCGTGGGCGGTACCACCGAGACCGTGTCCGAGACGACAAGCACGGTCCCCAGCACGACCGCCACTGGCGTCTCCACGACCGTCACTGGCATCTCCACGACCTCCGGGAGCGGAGTCACCCGCTCGTCGCCGAGCGCCACGCTCTCGCGCGCGTCGGGCTCGGACACGAGCACGGGGACGGCGCCCAGCCCGACAAATTCGAACGCCGCAGGGAAACTGGGGGGCGCGGGCGCTGCGGTGGGCGTTGGCCTCGTGGGCGCGTTGGCTGCTCTTGTATAAGTTGGATGGGGCTGCGGTTTAGGCGATAGGATGGGCTCTGTCGCTGTTGGTTCCGAGCTGGGTTTGGACTCTGGACGCTCTTATTGTCGGAGAATCCATGAAAATTCGTTCTAAAGGGAGTGTGTTCCCACTGGCACGCTCGAGAGTCAAGGCGATCGAGCCGTGAACAAGACGCACCGCCACACGTCAAACGTCATCGATCTCGATTCGGGGGAACATGTCAACGCCGCTCGCTTTCCGGATCAAAGTCTAACCGTCATAAATATTAAATTCAGACCACTGGCTTTCACCCCAATCATGAAGTCCACATACGCGCTACTAGTGCTAGTGCTCGCCGCCGCCGCGCAGGAGTCCACCACCACCACCGCGTCGTCGGCCGTCACGATCCAGACGAGCCTCCCGGGTACCTCCGCCGCCGCGTGCGTCCGGCCCTGACCTTCCTCCCGCTGACTGACTGACTGACTGACCGCTCGGCCCAGCTCGACGTCTTTCCCACTCACGGTGATCAGCACCGCGTCCTCGGGGAGCGTCCCCGCCGCCACCAGCGCCCCCTCCACCACCGAGACCACGACGCTCCCCAGCCCCTCCACCTCCACCTCAATTATTTCCACTTCGTCCGTGACGGTCCCCACCCCGTCGACGACGCTCACCCTGCCCTCCGCGAGCCGCACGTACACCGGCACGCCGTCCGTCACGCTCTCCAGGACGAGCACCTCGCCCAGCGCGAGCAGCTCGAACGCCGCCGGACGGCTGGGCGGGAAGGGGCTCGCTGTGGGAGTAGGCGCGGGGATGGGGATTGTCGCTGCGCTGGTGTAGCGTGAGGACGGGATACGATCGAGGGAGTGCGGGCTGTTGTAGTTGGATGCGGGGAGGGAAAGGGCTCTGGATGTTGTTGTATCGCTGCTGCTTGGGACGCTTAGATAAATTACGCCCCGTTGTTGTTGTTGTTTTGTTATTGAATGCACATCACGATATCGACCAACCAATCCCTATATGCATGCTCCAACTTGTAACCCTCTAAATCGTCTACACTCCCCCCCACACACACGCACTAATACGCAACACTACCCCCAACACTCCTCCACCAGCCTCCCCGCCCTCTCCAGCCCCTCCACATACTCCCTCGCCTCCGCCTCGCCCAGCCCGCCCTCCGTCTGCGCGATCGAGCGGAGGGCCGCGCGCACCGCCGCGGGCATCTTGTTCGACGACCTGTCGTTCGTTCAGCGGGCGGATAGAGAGAACGGCGGTGGTACGAGCGGAGCGGAGAGCGGCGTCGGTAACGAACAAGGGGAGGAAACAGAAGAGCAGAAGAGCGACCGACGCACCCCGAGATGAACACGCACCCGCCCGCGCGGAGCCGCGCCCACACGCGCGGCGCGTCGCGCGCGAGCAGCGTCTGCACATACGTCCTGCCCCCTCCACTCGCGCCTCCTCCCCCTCCACTCGCGCCTCCTTCCCCTCCACCGCCCTTACCCCCCTTACCCCCTCCCTCACCCACACCCGCACCCTCAAGTTCTCCGGGCGGCGCGTCCCGCGACGCCGCGAGCCGGTACGCGAGCGCGCCCGCGCGCGCGTGCGCCGCCCACTCGGCGGCGTAGTGCTGGTCCTTGGACGCGGAGCGGCACCCGAAGTAGAGGGTCGTGTCTGGGGGCGGGGGTTAGCGGGTGCGGGACGCGGGGGGGGGGGGGGGAAGGAAGAGGGAGAGGGGAAGAAGAGGGAGGGGAAGGAAGGGGCGATACAGTAGAGGCGCGGATCCCACAAAGACGGTGAGGCCAGGTGAAGAGGGGGACGGGGACGAGGAAGGGGCGGTGAAGCGGGGCAAGCAGCCGAGCACGGGGAGCGCAAAGCGGGCCCGGAGCAGCGCAGGAAACAGACGTAGGGAGAAACGACCGGCGCACTCACCCGTCGCGCCCTGCGCCGCGCGCTCCTCCACCACCGCGCGCATCGGCGCGACGCCCGTGCCGGGGCCGACGCAGATCACGGGCGTCGCGGGGTCGGGAGGGAGGGACAGCAGCCCGCGTTTGAGCCCGATTATCAGCCGCGCGCCTGGGGCGTGGTGGGTGTGGTTAGTATGTTATTGGGAGCGAGGCATGGGCGGGGTGTGGGTTGGAAGGGGGATGCATAGGGCAGGGGAGGAGACGGGGAGGGGGAGGGGGAAGGGGACATGGCGAGGGGGCATGGGAATGGACACGCACCGGGCTGCAGCGCGGCGAGGTACGCCGTCGCGACGCCCCGGCGGGGCACCTTGAGCATCGTCTTGTAGCGCACGATCGCGACGCACAGGTGCACCTGTCGCGGGTGTCTCTGCGTGTATCGTGCCACGAGTCAGCATTCTTTCCCCGTTTCCTCTTCAGCCACGAGAGGAACGCACCGTGACGCTGCTGGCGATGCTGAACTCGCGCTCGCGCATGAACGGGACGAGGTCGAGCGCGTACTCCCTCGGCACGCGCCCGCGCGCGGAGCGGAACTCCGCCAGGACCTCCAGGAGGGTGCGTCGCGGGCGCGTGGTGTAGGCGTAGAGGTCGTCCTGGTGGCGAGGTGAGGTGAATGAAAACGAGGGAACGGAAGAGAAGATAGAAGACGCGGATAAATTAGAGGATAGAAAGAAGGGAGGGAGAGAGGAGCCGGGGATGAGGCAAAGGGAGGAGAAGGGAGATAAAAAGTCAGACGAGGCAGGGGAAAGACGCGGACACGAGACTCACCGCGCCCTCTTCACTCAAAAACTCCCCCACCTTCTCGCGCTCCATCTCGTCCTGGAGGAACCAGCGCAGGCACTCCCAGAACGCGCGGCGCGGGACCGCGGAGATGGAGAGGTGCGTGGTGAGCAGCGCACGCAGTGTCGTACGAGGGGGCAGGAAGGGCGGGAGGGTTTGGTCTTCGTGGGCGGGTTAGTTGGCGAGTGTACATAGCAAAAATGGGGGGAAAAGGGCGGGGACGTACCGCCGAGAGTGGGATGTACGGAGACGGGCTCGTCGGCGTGGTCCTCCCATCCCATCAGCTCGAGGAACGTCTGCACATCGTCCGGCGGGTTCTGCGGGAGTATGCAGGCGACGTCGCCGGGTGCGTACCTGAACGGTGAATGGAATCAGCGTCACCTATCCGACTCGGATGAGAACAGCTAATGACGGACCGCACGTCCTCGGCAAAGTCAAACTCGAAATGGCGGACGTCCTGCCACCAGTCGTCGGCGGTGATGCGTGTGTTGACGCGCAGCGTCGCCGGGTGGTAGCGCGGGTCTGCCAGGCGAGGGTCGGGCGGCGGGGGAGAATCGGGGGGCGCAGGGCGGAAGGAAACGCGAGGGGGCGGGAGGGCGTCTTCTGTCGAGGCGGGGGAAGGCGGCGGGCAGCCGTCAGGGAGGGGCAAGAACTCGAGGAGGGCGCCCGTGAGCGCGTCGAGCCAGGGCAGGAGCGCGCCGTCCACGCTGTGCACCGCCCGTCGTCACACACGCATTCGTCAGCACAGAAGACAGACACCACGCACCCGAGCGGGTGCTGGTCGTCGCCCTCGCCGCGCGGCACGAGCGCGCGCCCGCCGAGCGCCTGCAGGCGGCGCTCGAGCAGCTTCGCGGGCCAGCAGAACTTCTCGTAGCCGCTGTCGCCGAGGCCAAAGACGGCGAAGTCGAGGTCGTCGAAGAGGTCCGGCGGGAGGTCCGCGCGGAGGAGGAGCGCCCAGAGCGCGTGCGCGGGGCGCGGGAAGGCGCCGGAGCCGGCGGTCGCGACGAGGAAGAGGACGAGCGGCTCGTGCACGAGGTCCGCGAGCGGGTACTGGTCGACGCTGAGCACGCGCGCGCGGACGCGCAGCTTGCGGAGGTGGCGGGCGGCGCGGTCGGCGGCATCCTGGGCGGTGCCGGTCTCGGTGGCGTACAGGACGAGGACGTCGTGCAGCGCGTCGGCGGCGGGATGGTCGTCGTCGGTGAGATCAGTCATCCTTATCTGATAATTTGGCCCGCGGGCGCTTCGAGATCAGTGAGTTCTCCTTATCAGTTTCGCACGCCACGGCGCTGCCACAGCAGGCCACTGCCAGTGACGGTATATTCCAAGTGCAAAATTACAATTTAAAACACAAAAATAAAAGGAGAGGGAAGTCGATAAATACATGTTGACGTAAATACACTGCAATATAATCACTTGTATCAACAAATACAGTACTACTACACGAGGACTAAAATACACCGATGAGTGCCGCCGATGAATGTCCTTCCCGGGGGGTGGACAGACTGTGGGCTTACATAGAGAGACACATCAGAAGAACCCTATACATCTAGAAACCACCTCGCAATCCCCTTCCAACAAGTCACACAGATCCTGCCATAGGCTTGCCACTGTCTATCGAACCCGCGGCCTTCCCATCCGTCGGTGCACCCACGAGAGAGCCCTGCGAGCCAGGCGAGGACGTCATAGCCCCGTGCGTCGCCTCCCAGACGTCCTCCACCCACTGCTGCAACCACGCACCGTACTCGGGGTCCTCCCACTCTTCCTCTTCGTCTGCCGCCCCCTCCTCACAGCTCTCATCAGCAACGTCGCGGCACGAAGCCGAATCCCCGGGAGCGAGCGACGACTCGCGCCCACCATCCACGCCTTGCTGCGGCTGGCCGGACACGCCAGGATCTATATCGCCAGCACCTCCATCCCCGCCGAGGTCGCTGGGACTAACACCGCCGCTGTTACTAGAATGGCCTCGAGCAGCGTCCGAGTCAGGCAAGGCACCACTCCTCCATTCATCACTGGGCACGGCGTTCATCCACGCATCGTAGATGCCCGCCACGGCGAGCAACGTGATCTCCTCAGCGGGCTCGAGGCCGGGGAACTCTGACTTCAAATCCACGCTCTCCCTAATGTTCCTATAATCCCCGCCATACACACCGCGCAGCTTGCGCGCAGTGTCGCAGATAACGAAGTGGGGCGGGACGTGCAGGGACACGCTCGGCAGGTTCTTGAAGGGGTAGTAGTACTGGATGACGCGGTTCGTCGAGTCGAAAGCCGCGGTGGGGATAGCAGGTCGTCGGATGGTCCAAGAGGCTTCCATGGCGCGGAACGGGACGACGCGGTACTCGAACGATTTCTTCTTGTCGTAGAACTGGAACTGCCTCAATGAGCCTCGCAAACGGACAGGGGAGGGTACTATTACACACACCTCGCGAGGATTGCGGCGGACGTTGGGGTACTCTGCTGGCACTGGGCGCGAGTAGCTGCGCCCGACGTAGCACTGGTACATTTTCAGGACGGTGTTCTGATCGGCGGGCAGCCAGAACCACCCGTCGTGCTTGCTGTCGGTGGTGCGGTTGTAGTAGCAATGTACGTCCACACTGACTATACATGTATCTGTAGCGTGAGTTGTGCATTGGGCGGCGAACAGGAAGGCACTCACGAGGATGGATATTCTTTGGCGTGTGGAGGTCGAGGGTGCCGTACCCCATATTCCACGCCCACTCGAGCTTCTCGAGCTGCGTAACCTCGTTAGCCAGGAGTCAAATAAGCTGATACCTGACCAGTTCTTACAACTTTGCTCGACGTTTCGCCACTAACAACGTGCGCGTACTCGAGGATGGTCATTACGTCGGAGGCGCAGGTCACGACGCAATAGGGACGCCCGATGTTCGGTGCGAACTTGCGGAGGGCTTCGTCGATCTTGCGACACAAAGCCGACGCGGGCGACAAAGCAGCCCTCCGGCGCTTGCGCGCCCGCCTTGGGGGCGCATCTGCCGGCCGCTTCTTCGCAGCGGCGGAGGGCTCTGCATGTTCTGCACTTCCCACTTGGCTAATGATACTGCGTTCGTCGAATTCGTGGTCTTCAAGTGCAGTGATACCAGCGGGTTGGATTACAGCGTCCGCGGGAGTGGGCGTTGCGAGGTGGCCCTGCATTGCTCGATAACACAGAAAGCCTGTGCAAGCGGCAAAACCAAGGCAAAACACTGTAATTTCGACGTGACACGCGACGCGTCAAAGTCACTCCACGTGACTAGGCATGCTCAATTCTACAATTCGGCCGTTCGCTCGAGCAATCGTAGGACCCCTGATAATAGGTATCAAGGCTTTGTGGAAATGCGGACAAATCAAGCCAAATTAGACCTCACCAGGCCTTATTTTTCGCGGACAGAAAGGCCCAAAAACGGGTGCACGTCTGATTTTTTTCGCGGACATATATACCATGCGCTATTGATGCCTTATGCTTGTGCGGACATTTATAGTCTCGTGGTCCAGGGGTTACCGCTTGACCCATGTATGATTGGTTGATTCCTGGATACTAGGTTCAATTCTCCATGTAGGCATGTGTTTTCAACTTTTTCTCTATACGATGGATGTGGCCATTGTGGGTCCCTATCCCATCTCATAGTAGACTATGTCTATCCAGCATTTATTAAGTTATTGTAGTTCACATACTAGAAACATGACTGTTTCTATTTAACGAGTTCCATCTCGAATCGGAGATGGCGGAGTTGGCTCCCGCAGTGGAAGAACTGGCAAAATTCCGCCGCAAACGCAAGGCGGCGAGCGTGTGGACATGATTTCTGACGGTGAATAGAGTGGTGCTATAGATATACATTACTAGAAGAGCAAAATTGATACATTTTAATGCCTTATCCTACAGCGCGGACAAAGGTCTTGTAAGCAGAGCCCTGATCAGAATCGCGGACATTTTCGGCCAAAATCCGCTCAGGCCACATTTTTCGCGGACAAAACGGCACCAAATCCGGAAATTTGGCGCGGACAAAAAGGTCGGATTCTCAGGATTTAAAATAAAGCCTTGATACCTATTATCAGGGGTCCTGCAATCGTTCGCGCTTTCGTTCGCGCC